CACACACACACACACACACACACACACAGAGAGAGAGAGAGAGAGAGAGAGAGGGAGGGATTGAGAGAGAGAGAGAGAGAGAGAGTATCAAAGATAGAAAATACAACATGTTTCTGTCTACCTCTCTTTTTGTAAACACGGTCAAGAGAGAAAGCAACCTCACAACTTCCAAACAATAAAATATAAAAGGCTTCACTCCAAAATAGAGTTAAACTAGTATTCAGTCCATATGGTATAACTGAAGAATCAGGAGATCTGGGTTACAATCTCTGTTCAGCCATGAGGTTCAGAATGGTCACTGTCTCATAGTCTAACCTACCTCGCAGGGCTGTTGTGAGGATACAGATTATGTTGTGTTGAGCTACTTAAAGGAATGGTGCATTTTAAAAGGTGTGAAATTTCCATGGCCTTAAATTTCAAACTAGATATTACAGTTAATCTTCACCCCACAACCCTGTGTCAATCAGTAGCATGAAGTGGGGGGCTGAGGAAATAAAAAAAGCAATGCCTTCCTTGGTAGATGTTGCAGAGTGAAGAGGAGGAAGAACAGCAAATTCTACATTTATTATTCCATTTAGTTTGAACTTGAGCACATTTGACTATACTGGATTGTAGCCAAACTCAAGAAAATAGTCACTAGCAGTGGAGATAGCCCTGCAACTCATCACCAAGATATATATCATTGAGGGTAGATCTTGGCCTTACATGGAATATGGATTCCCTGTGACTAACAATTTTTCCCTGTGCTCAGCTAGATCGCCTCAAAGATACATACCTCAACAATCAGACCTGGAAATTAAGTTTTTCTTCTAGTGACCAACAATACATGCTAAATGCTATATATGTAGGTAAGGAAAATCACCTGCTATGACAAACAAATGTCTTTCATGAAAATGAGAATCACATCTGCAAAAACAAACCATTTAAACTCATTTACCTCTCGGTGAGCAAGCTCATATTTGATTTTCATACTCTACACAGACTCCAAAGAAGCTAGTCTAAAGCTAGCCTCATAGTGACAGCAAGGTGTGCTAAGGTAAAAAGAAGAGTATGCACTCTATAATATTTTGCTCAAAAACTGTCTTTGTCCATACAATTATCTCCACATCCTACCCGCTACACAATGGAGGCTTACTGTGAGGTAAAAATCTCATCAATCTCTGTTCGAGGACACAGGTTCATCAGGAATGTTTTGTATACTGACTCGGGGAAGTCTTCTGGATTGATGCCATCATTCTGAAAATAAAAAAGCAACTCAAGATGAGAAAATGAAATGGACTCCCTGGAAGTTGTGCCGTCTAATTCACATCCCTCTTCTAGGCTAATATATACACCTGATGACTGCAGTTCAGTGAAGAGAAATAATATTCTGTTCACTGCCCTAAGATTAACACACTCTGGGATTCATTTTTTGCTTTTATCCTTTCTTCCTGTGACCAAGGACTGAGACCTTATACTGAGCACAAAATCTTTCTCAGACCAAAAGCTGACATTCTAGAGCTGAGTTGAGTGATCTAATGATTTGGATACTGGAACCAGTTACGCATCACCAACAGAACGACACACATCACTCAGAGGAGGGCAAAATAGAACAGAGTGGCATAAAATTTAGGTGTGCTAATTGGCATGTACAGATGCATACTTGGAAATAATTACTATGATTCAGATAGAAATACAATACATCTCATCACAGCAAGGAAAACAGTAAAGAGATAATCCATGTATTTATTCAGTGTGGAATCCAGGTATCTGTGTGCTATCAAGATCGTCAGGGGAAGCCTTCCTCACCACCTTCACTGGTTGAGGACACAGGAGAAGGCTTTCTCTGTTGCTGCTCCCAAAGTCTGGAACTTCCTGTTTCTTTGCTTAGTACCTACTCGTGACAATTAACTGATGTGTAACAAGCTATTCCTTCTGCCCAGGAAAACATGAATGACATCATTTTATAAACTGGATATAATAGAAATTGCTCAATTCCCTAGATATTTTTTTTTTTTGGAATATATTATATGGTGATGGTGATGACAGAGTAAAAGATCTGTGTTTTTTTTTTTTTTTTTTGGAATATATTATATGGCGATGGTGATGACAGAGTAAAAGATCTGCGCTATGTACAGCTGAGAAAATACTCACCTTCCCTGTAGGGAGATGGCAGGCATTTAATGCTGCCTCTACCCTTTTTCGGTCTGCAGGAAACATTTGAAAAATACTGAGAGACAGAAAAAATACAGGTTAGAAGCAGAGTTATTGAAGATGGATTCTTAGTATATCATTGGTCCAAACAGTCATGGATGTCACTCACTTCCTGACAGGAATTTTCCCCTGATTATTCAACTGCATCTTTAACTTCACCAGTCTGTGGAAAAGATAAGAACAAAGAAGCCTTCGTTAGCTTTCCTACTCACAAAGCTAGAGAAGGGGAAAGGAATGGAAGAAATATGTCAGTCAGAACAAGAGGAAAATGAGAAATAGCCATTAAAGTATATGCAAACTTATTCATAGTCTAGATATTTTTGGAAGGCCAAAGGTGAACTATTGTATTTAGATGGAGGGCTTAAATTAAATTTCAGGCTGAATGCAAGAATTATTACATTCTATACAACCCCAGCATTTGCAATGAATAGAAATCATGAAGGGAATGAAGCTGCTTCATGAAATGTAGGCATCCTGCTGGTTTATTGATACTCCCACCTGACCTTAAAGCTATCAGGACTGTGCTGCTTAATGCAAGCCAGTAGATAAATAACTTGCCCATTAGCACAATTATATACTGTATAACAGTATCTTAGCATAGCAGGGTTTCTGCATTTCATTGCTTACATGTAGACTGCTCATCGCAGTACCCTTTTGTTTCCAAAGTACTTGGCATTTGGAAGGACACACACTTCTGGTTGACCTAAGACCTATGAAAACCTTTGATATTTAAAAATATTTGGCCTGTTGTTATCATCCTTGACCTCTCGTTCCAAGGATTTTACTTGCCATTATAAAATAGAGATGGGAAAAAGAAGTGGGGCATGCAACAAAATAATGCTGCATGGCATCACTGCCCTGTAACAGGAGTGCTCAAGTTCAGGGTTCGATCAGCCGATCATGCCCTTCTACAAGAATGGAGCTGCTTCCCTCCAGATGCTGTTGGACTGTGACTTCCATCGTCTTTCACCATGGACTTTACTGTTTGAGGCTGATGGGAAATGCAGCTGAACAGCTTCTGGAGGCCACAGGACACCACCCACACTGCTGCTATAAAGCATAAAGAGTAAAGCAGAGCATTATGGGCCCCTGCCCATACTTTTCCATTTCTAGCTGATATGCAACACCTCTGTTTTATGAGTATATCCAGTTCTTTTTCACACTGTGTTTCCCACTTCCTTAGGAAAAAAAAAAGAAACAATTCTTATTTATTCTTTATGTTCTTATGCCAAGCCTGGATTTCTCCTAACCGTGTTGATAAACCCTTCTCTTTTTTTGTGCATTTATTTATGCTCACAACAGCACAACAGGAGCCTCTTACTAGAAAGTGAAAAGGACAGGCTTGGAAGCAGAACTATGAAAAGTTACTTTTTTGGGCTGTAGCTGAGAACTCTGGAAGTTGTAGCCCGTTCAAGAAACGTCTCCCAGCTCTGCCTGGAATTATAAACTTAACCACTGATTACTTACATTTTCTCCAAGAAGGTGTAGCGGCAAGCATTGTATGTAAAGGGGTTCCTAACAATGGCCATAATATCATTTGCCCAATCCTGAAAGAAGCAAGACAAGGAAAGATGTTGAAAGACTGGGAAAGGTTTACTATGCAAACTTTTTCTTTGGGCCCCACTGTACCAGTGTACCATAGTCAACTTCCACATGGTGCAAATGTTCCTTCCTTAACCTTGTTATCCTTTCTGAAGACAGGATCAAGGATGTGGCTACTTTCTAGTAAATGTGTTTAGAATTAGGTTGTAAGTAGAACAAATTATCATTGTCACCATTTCACTCATGCGCCCAGAATTAAAAGACAGTTCAGTACATTTCACAGATATCTGCCTACAATAAGCACAGGGTAGGTAAATGTAAAAATAAAATATCAATAGTACCCTGATCAGAGATAAGAGAAGTTACTCTTTGGGACTACAGCTCCAATCATCCCTCAATCAATATGACCAAAATATTTGGGGGGGGGGAATTTTGGAAGCAGAAGTCTCTCCCCCCCCCAACCCCCGCAACACAAACAACCTTTTCCAATGTCTGCTTTAGACATAATCCTATGCTGGTTCTCTCACAATTATTCTATATGATTTCTTAGATAATTTTCTTGCTTCCAGTAACTTCTAGAGTTAAATCAACAACAGAGCAAAACAAATTATATCAGTTGTAGCTGAGGTGTGACCGTATGTGAAAAAAACATGACATATGATGCCCATTTTCCCTTGCCTTCTGTTTTAGTTGAGTTCTAAGACTTCTTGTCACTCAACTCCCAACATGCGTGCCATCTAATTTTGCAATACCTTTCCAACATTTTCTTTGTAGGAAACAAAATTGTGAAAAGTGAGGTCCACCATATCAGGACCAGAAACTACTGTCAATGTCTTGAGAAAGAAGTTGTTGTTGTCTGGAAAATCCAGCTTGAAAACCTCTCGGAGCTTCTGATTCTGCAAAGGGAAAGCAAATGTAAGCAATGAGAAAGAGAAGAGGGCAAGTTACTTCTAATGAATAAGATGACATCTGCCTGTCTATAGATATATAGCACAGCACAGTTTATCCAACATCTTCAAGCAACACTGAGGAAAAACACTATTATAACACACACACACACACACACACGTGCGCGCACACACACACACGTGTGTGTGCACACACACACATGCATGCATGCACACATGCACACAACGCACCTCTGTGTTTCCATCCCTGCAGCTTGCAAATTGTTTATGCTTATGGTGGAAAAGAGAAGAGGAATGAGCTGCAGGTACTTGCTGCCTTGCTTTTGCTAAAACAGCCTTAGTGCCATGTTGAATTGTGTGAAAGACCAGTCTTAAATTCAGCATAAAAAGGTGCTGCACATTCTGCCACAACTCACCTTAGGAATCTTGGCAAATTTCCCTACTCTAGTGTCTCGAATACTTGTGATATCCAAAAATTCAATTTCCTGTAAAATAAGAAAAGTTAGCATTCAAGACTGGAGGAATCTGAAAGGAAAGCAGAGCACTTGCAATAGCAAACATAGTACTCTCAACAGCCTAATTACATTGGGGAATTTCTAATGGCACAAAGAACATGCTCAAAGAGAATGCATTTGCATCACCAATCTTTCTGTGTGAAAGAATCAAAATCTATGTATTCGCGAAGGCTTTCACAGCTGGGATCTAATGGTTGTTGTGGGTTTTTCGGGCTCTTTGGCCGTGTTCTGAAGGTTGTTCTTCCTAATGTTTCGCCAGTCTCTGCGGCCCACATTTTCAGAGGATAGCACTCTGTGCTCTAGTGTAGTTGGCTTGGGAGTGCGGTATTTATGGCTGTGAGATAGGTTTTTGTCTTTTTCTGTAGATGGGTGATTAGTGTGTCTTGTTGTGGGTATCGTGTGGTGCTGAGGAGAAGAGATTATCTGTCACGGTGGTTGATGTGTGTCAGTATCTGGTCTTTTGTGTGTAGTGATCCTTTGTCCTTGTAGCTGGGTAGAGTTCATTGACCTTTTGCACTCTGTATTTTGAGAGCTGACAGCCAAGTTTTGTTGAGCTTCACACTTTCCTCTTTTTTTGTTGTTGTTGAAGTTCTACTGGTGCTAAATTTATTCAATCTATTCAATTAAAACAGACCCAAAACATTATGTATGAGACTACAACAGGACAGTATTTTGCAGTGCTCAAAGACATCAGTTTGATGCTTGGAGGTTTTGCTATATGTGCAATATAAAACATTGATGTATTCAAGGTATAAGTGTGGAGGCAAAGACTACAGATGCTCCCACATTAACATTATGCTGAATGAATGAATGAATGAATGAATGAATGAATGAATGAATGAATGAATGAATGAATGAATGAATGAATGAATAGGCGACAAAAGGAGTTACCCAATATTTCTGCATAAATCTAAATGATAACTCTCTTTTTGGGGATGGAGACTTATTTTGGACATTACGAATTTTTGTAAAAAACTTATTTTAGACAACTTAACACTATTGCTCAGAATATTGCACATAAAAACATAAGGAAACCTTTTCTTTAAAGGATACACATACAAAACCTTGTGAGGTGATCAAATTTCAACATTGGTGGGATAAGTGACAGTGTGAAACTCTCCATTCTCCCCTTTTGACGATGATTTGCATTAATGCAATCATTAAAACATGGAGCCAAGTTTACCAGATTTTAGTTTAGTGGCCCACTGCACTTGGAAGAGTCTCAAAGGGGAGAAACTGGAATCTTTTCTACTTATATTTGCAGATGTTGCCAAGTATATTTATAAGTGCAACATTGCAGCTCTTTAGCTTGGTGAGGCTAGCTATTCCAGAGAGAAAATGAATATGAAATGCAAATATACATGCAAAGAAGTCCCAACACATTTGTTAGTTTTTTACATTAAAGATACTTCAGTTTTGAGGAGACAAGGGGTGTGTACATGTGCATGTGCACACTGTGCCTATGTGCATGTGCACACATCATTGTAAGCATGTGTGCACACATGCATGCCACCCTTAATGCTTTCTCTGCTATCCAATTTTCCACTTCACACTGCACATTTCATGACTTGCTATTACAAGCACATGGAAACCAGCAGGAAACAAACAATTTTCATCTGGAGCAGGAAAATGCTTGTTCAAGGCTGGGAGCTGACAAACAAATCTGAGAGCAGACTGGTTGTTTGTTTAATGTCAACATGGGAGAGGGTGCCGGCAAACAGGCTTCCAACTCTTGTTGTGAGAAAAAGTGATCAATAGCATTTATGGTCGTTTTTTTCTCACCACTGTTCATCAAAAGTTGGAAGCCCACCTGCAGGGAGTCTCTCCCATGTTAAGATTAGACAGACAACCAGGCTGTTCTCAGATTTGTTTGTTTTGCTTAATATTCTAATCAAGGATTATTGCATTTCCTAGGCAAATGAGAAAACTTAAAACATGGAGCTGCAGGTACTCTTGGAAAAAGCTATCACTGTCTTTGGCAAGAGGTCTCAGCTGAAGCAGATGCTTTACTTCCTAGAAAATGCATCTCTGCTCTAACTCAAGAGATCCTTTCTACTAGATGTGTTAACTAAAGTTACTGCTTCATCTGTTTGCAGAAACAGACCTGTCTGTGTGTCTTCTGTTGCTGCTTTTTTTTAGTCAATGTGACAAAGAGAAACGGGCACATTTCTTCTGTGCCAAGATGGATGAGTTCTCTGTGTGTGAAGAGCTGTCCTGTCTAAAAGCATACCTGCACAGCACAGTTATGGCCTTTCAGTGTCTGAAATCCTGTTTACAGAGCTACACTGCATAAGGCTGATGACATCACCAGCCATGGCAATTTTCCAGAAAAAAATGATCCTCCACTACAACCACCACAAGAAGATCCCAAAGTTCCCATGAAATCCCCTTCATTGTGGGCAAAGCCAGTGGGGGTCATGGGATTGGAGGGTGGAGGAATCTTTAATTTCCAAAAATCACCACCATTCAGATGATTTGATTCTGCCTGATCAATGTATGAGCATGCATGTGCCCAAGGTACGCCCTGGTAATTCAACAAAATGTTTAGCCGTTGCTAATGGCCACTCTACCAGTATTGTCTACACTGACTGGCAGCAGCTCCCCAGACACAAAAAGAGATGCCACTCCCATATACTGAGCTACAGACCTTCTCTTAAGTGCAAGCTGGAAAATCTACAACAGTTGTTCCAGCCAGTCTAACATGTTATTGATGCAACCTGTTAACGATGTTGACTTGCCACTCATGACCTGATGATGTGGTTCCCAGTTATGTGACCGTCTAGTGTGATAGGTTCTTACCATTGTGTAATTATAAATTCACTGTTATGAGGACAGTGCCAATACCACCATAATTCCACATAATCAGATTCGAAAATGTAGGCAACTGGACTGGTCCATATGAATCACTGAGAAGTGAAGCATTGTTCCATATGAAACATTGAGAAACATCTCTTAATTTCCTCATTCTCGAACAAGCTACCTTCAAATACTTTGTATTACAACCAGGTTAACTTGCAACAATATTTGTCTCATAGCCAGGAAAGCCATGGAGAATGGAGGATGTCATAGTCCTTGCTATCCAGAAAGTCCCAGGGCTCGACCCCTACTAGCCCTTGCTCCACTAACAACTAGCTTTTATAGACAAATTCCTGGAAACACATCTGTGAAAGGCTAGGGCACAGTACCTACATGAAGCCTCCGGGTTTGAGAGGGCCGTCTGCCTCTGATTACCTTGAGAACAAGAGCAATTCCCAACTGCCCAGATAGAAATAATATACTCTCCCCAGAGCTTAGAAGAGTAATTTTTTTATTTTTCAAATCAAGTGCAAGTTTATTTGTGTGGCCTTAGCCATTACAAACAGACATTACAAATAAATTAAAACAGAACCATTAATCATCTAAATACAAGTCAAGACTAATATTAAAAGTAAGCTAGATCCAGTTAATCAATCAGGTCTTTATCACTACAGTGTTCCTTTCTTAAAATTGGTGCTCTGAAGGAGAAGCAGACTACTTTTTCTGTTATACGTGGTAATCTATCCCCCAACAAAAAAATTATCAGATAAGCATCTGGTATGTTGGTTATGAGGCCTATCTCTCTCAACACGTTTGCTCTTAGGTCTTTGTATATGGGGCAATTAATTAAGTAGTGAATTAGATCTTCTACTTCCATGCTGCCGCATGGGCACGTTCTCTCTTCCCAGGGAATCTGATGGTATCATCCTTCAGCCACTGCCGAGACCATATTGACATCTTAGAGCTGACAGAGCATTTCTCCATTTAAAGTTTGTTATGTTGCTAAGATATTGTGGGTACGGTGTTTGGATGGGTAGCTTTGCATACCAAGGGGCAGTTTTTGATGAGCAGACAGAAATACGGTCAGCTCTAAGGCCTTGTTTTAAGATATGGGTCTACCTCCTCAAAATCTAAAGAGTTCAAAAGATCCCCTGAGAGACAATACGTATTAATAATCTGGAGAATTTTTTGATTCCAGGATAGGGCTGTTCTGTGATTAAAGTTCAACATCTCTCTGAAAGGTATCAGCACTAATGCCAAACGAATTCCCTTTTTCAAATTCAGCCAGTGCTTAATTGCATGTATATGTACTAGGGCTTTCATTGACCAGCCAGCTTCCAACCGGGGAATGGAGATCTCTGTTCCATTAGGGAGGCCTAGAGTGGTCCATAGATATTTGTTCTGGGGTGTTTCTAAATATGGTTTTTGATCTGGGCCCCATATTTTGGCGGTGTTTCTAAATATGATTTCTGATCTGGGCCCCATATTTTGCCACCATAGCGAATTTGAGAGATGACTTTAGCCTCAAAAACTTCTAGGGCAGGAGGGATCTGTCTGCCACCTCTGCCCCAGTAAAACCTTAGCAGGGAGTTGACTGTGTTAGTGGCAATTGTTTTCATATTTTCATTATGAATTTTCCAGGAGCCAGATGAAGAAAAATTTAGGCCTAGATATTTGAAGGATTTAACGTGATCTATAGAATGTTTGCCAAGAATGTTTTTTAAATCTATTAGAGAATACTAATATTTTAGTGTTCTTATAATTAATTTTCAGCTTTTCTTGAGTTGCCAAGTGATTAAAAGCTTTCAGTAATCTCCTGAACCCTTGTTGTGTTTGTGATAGAAGAATGGTATCATCAGCATACATGAGTACTGACAGTTTCTTAGCGCACAACATAGGGGGCACATGATTGTCATTGTTGCTTAAGTCAGTTATTAGTGAGTTAACATAAACGTTAAACAATGCTGGTGCTAACAGACATCCTTGACGTACACCACGTGTAGTTGGTATTGGATTAGAAAAGTTATTTATCTAACTACAACTTCCAGAATCACCAAGTCACCTTATATTTTGCTTAATCACTTAAAAGCATGGTGGACCAGACCAATGTTCCTACTTCCTCACAGGGAAAAATTCAAAGCTTGGAAACATTACCTTTTTTCACTACAGTTCTCAGAATTCCCAAACCATGGAATTGTAGTCCAAAAACAGAGGCATTTCCAAGCTCTACCTTTGCTTTTGGCCTGGTGGTTTTTAAGGTACAACCCTCCGAAGACCTAGCCAGCACAACCAGCGGTCGCAGCATCTGTGAAAGTTACCCCAAGAGCACTTGTGGCTCCCAGTTTGGGAACCACTGTTCTACTTAGAGATGTAAATATTTCAGTCTCAATTTCACTTTCTTCATATCTCCCTTCTTGTTTTCCCCAGAGGTTGTGTGTACTATACACACATAATGTTATAGTCTTCTTGTGTTGTCTTATTCTCAAGCTTCTGTTACTGTTTTGTTTGGACAGAGAAGGGGAAGCAATCCCGAACCACACTTCTCGACTTATATGAAAAGCAGAACTAAGCAAACAAACTGCAAGCAATCCCGAACCACACTTCTCGACTTAAATGAAAAGCAGAACTAACCAACCAATTTAATTTTTCTATGCAGTGTTCCTCCCACTTATGCATGGATGGGACCAGAAATCCTTCTTTTTCCTGATCATTCTTGCTAGTTCGGCACTGAATTGTCCACATATAGAGCATCCATCATTTTCCACATAATGTTATAGTCTTTTTGTGTTGTCTTATTCTCAAGCTTCTGTTACTGTTTTGTTTGGACAGAGAAGGGGAAGCAATCCCGAACCACACTTCTCGACTTATATGAAAAGCAGAACTAAGCAAACAAACTGCAATTTTTCTATGCAGTGTTCCTCCCACTTATGCATGGATGGGACCAGAAATCCTTCTTTTTCCTGATCATTCTTGCTAGTTCGGCACTGAATTGTCCACATATAGAGCATCCATCATTTTCTAATCTAATAATCATAGTACTGCAGAGCTGGAAGACCACTGAGTCCAGCCTCTGTCAAGGAGGCAGAGTGTGGAACCAAACTCCCAACCTCTGGCACCACAACCAGAAACTAAAACCACTGAGCTACCCAGATGTTTTCTCCATCCACATAACAAAGCCAATCCCACTCTCTCCCAAATTTTTGCTTCCTCTTGCTTCTAGAAGTCCAACTTCAATGCAAGTGACAGTGACATCAAATATAGAAATGAGGCACCTGCCCAAGACGTGCTTTGTTCAGTTGATGATGGGAAGTGGCTCCAAGGCAAAGAGAAATTGGCAGTAAGAGGCAGGCTAAAGGATATGACAAAAATGCAGGCTTGTCCCCTTCCAAGACACGGTGCAAAAGACCTTTGTCTTTACTCCCAAATTCCATATAAAGAGATAAGCTGGACTGCCAAGTGAATTCTGCTTCAACACGAGTTAAAGGATAACGTCCTAGTGTGAGGGGAAGAGTGATAAATCTCAAGAGAGTTGGCCAAGAGTCTGCCATTGTGGCTCTCAGCATCTGCTCCTAGAGATAGTTGCTTCACTCAGCCTAAAGGTCTTGCAAAGATATGGTGGGGAAATTGGGTGCACCATGGCCTCATATTTTCTTCTGCCTGTCTCACAAGAATTCTCTCTCATATATTGAAAGATTAACATTATCATAAAAGAAATGAGCTTAATCAATCAAAGTTCAGGAGGGCCCTTCTTGGGTAGGAAATACACAGCTCCAAGGCTGGCTCAAGATATTTTGCTGCCAAAGGACAAGATGATTCTCCCTTCTCCCCCCCCCCACGATTCCATTCCATATACAGAAACCAACTAGTCTGACAGTTGAACTTTGCATCCTTCAGCACTGGCAATGGGGCAAGCAAGCATTCACTACCTCTCTTGAAGACAGGAGCAGACTAGCTTAAGGGGTGCATGGCGGCCTCTGTGGAGCATGGTTTTGAACTCCAGGAAAAGAGATTGGGGAAAGGAGACTCGGGATGAATGAGAGGAAGGGAGCTACCAATGACACTCTAGCATCAGCCACCTGAGGTCTTGCCGTTGCCATGCTGCGCCTAATGATGGAGCCTACCCTGTACAGCTCAGTGACATAATTCCTCTTTTGCACATAAAAATTCCCAGGTCTGATCTGTAAAATTTCCAAGTTAAAAGGAATGACAGTTATCGATGGAAATGGCTTCTCTCTTTATGAGACCTTGAAACACCAGCAGCTATCAGGTTAGACAAATCAGAATATAGGGGATACAGAGTCTATCTGAAAGCTGCTGCTTCCTGCATTCCTTCTTGAGGTCAGTTTCATAGCAGAGATGATTCATAGAGCTCTAAGTCAGGACAAGTTTTATGGCTGTTCATGATAGAAATCAGAGGCCGGTGGTCACAGCTTTATTCACTGTTCATGCATTGGAAACAATGCCTGGGAAAGTTACTTTTTTTAGCATACACCTCCAAGAATCTCCCAGCCTGAAGGTGTTCAGAGTTGGAGCTCCAAAAGTAATTTTTCCAAGTTTTGATCTGAAAGTGCCTTTTAAAATTAGCGACTAAAATACTTAACAATGTTACTGTGAGGGATAAAAGCGCACACGCAGATACAGAACACACTGCAGTTTCCATTCCTTCTGACTTGTTCCATAATTCTTCAGTTGCACATGGTCCTCCAGTCACAGGACATAATCAAACATTACTACAACTCAGGTCAGGGAGAGGGCCCATCAGGGAATGTGTGGTGCTCCCAATGTTGGTCTGCAACTCCCATCAGCTCTCACCCAAACATTACTACAACTCAGGTCAGGGAGAAGGCCAGAGCACAGCAGAGTAGCGCACATCAGGGAATGTGTGGTGCTCCCGATGTTGGACTGCAACTCCCATCAGCTCTCACTAATGTTGCCAATGCTGAGAGTTGATGGGAATTGCAAGCAGAAGGTCCTAGATTGCTAGCATCCCTCTCTACTAACTGTAATTTCAAAGATCTTATTCAGCAAAGGTGGAGGACAAACCTCTTCCTAATGCTCCCATTTAATGTTACACAAAGAATGTATGTTGTGTGATCCCAGCATGGTAGGCACTTAGGGATCATTCATATGTGCACTGTGGGAAATTTAAAATGATAGACATTTGCATAAAATCTGGTTGTACTGATTTATGTCTGAATGCATATTTTTAGATACATTTTTCTGCAACTGACACAGAAACACACAATGTCCCAGCCTGATAAAGGCAGGATGTGACCAGGTACATGGGTACCTGCACAGACCACTGTTCAGGTGCTGACGGAGCCCCTCGAGGCTCCTGCTCAAATATCGTAGGGTTCTTTATCTGTGACTTGCACTTCGAACAAAGGAGGCCCCTGGACAGAGGACTGTCATCTGAAGAATAGGATATACAGCCACCCTGAGACCCAGTGGCTACTTTTTTCAATAGGAAAGAAACTCGAAAATGAACAAAAAAAACGATGAGGAAAGGAGAAGAACCCTATATTTCCTCACTTATCCCTCCATCCTAGAGTGCTTGGGCTCTTGAGGAGAAGAAGAAAGAGAGTATGAGTAGGTGGCAGCTCTGGAATGGAGAAACAGATGATGTGAGGAAGATTAGGTATCTCCGTTGTCTCTCCATTCACAGAAAGTTCTTGCCAAAGCTCCTTTTCTTCAGAATATGCATAAACCATTGAGGCTGTCTCTATATTTGCAGGTAGCATGTAATTTGTCCCAAGACTTTGGGCACTCACTGCTATCCAGAGCAGGTAGTACTGGACTAGCTCAAGCAGCATTTTGACTTCGGATATATGAGCTCCATTGTGAAGTTTACTGGTCCCAAGTGATGCAGCCTTCAAAAATTCAGACATCTTTGTTCCAACATCATCAACCAAACACCAAAGATCAAGACTTACCTTATTTTGGAAGGTCCAGTATAGGTAAAAGCCCTTTGAATCTATACGTAGAATGACAGGAGAAGCATTTGTGGAATCCTGAGAAAACACAAAAATGAACAGATCAGAAATGTTTAAAAAGCTTAAACAGGAATGGGCACAAACTGTTTTGTTTACCAGTTGCACAGCTGATCTGTAGTTCTGTGCCCTGCCCCCTCTGGTGGGTGACCCCTCGGAGGCAGCGCCCAGAGAGGCAAGCCATGGAAGCCTCCAAGTGAGCATTCCCTGGAGGGGGGCAGGGCACCAAGCCACAGATCTGCTGTGCAGCTGGTAAACAAACCATTGGTTCGTGCCCATCTGTAATTATGAATGAGGAATAACATCTCAGAATGCTGATGGCAATATAAAAGGAAATGCTGTATATTTTTTTTGTTCCATTCTCCCTCGTGGATGTGCACCTTAACATGATGGGGGGGGGATTTCAGTGTGTTGAGAAAGATGACCACAAGACTGTCAGGAGGCTACCAAGGTGGACTGGTCAAGACTAAGGCATCAGATTCAGATGTCTTGTGGCACAGCCAAAACTGTGCTCATGACCTGAGGTTCAATCCCAGGTAGCCAGCTGAACATTGATTCAGCCTTCTATCTTTCCAAGGTTGGTAAAATGAGTACCCAGCTCATTGGAGGGGCAATGTGTAGCCTGCATAATTAACTTGCAAACCACCCAGAGAGTGCTTGAAGCACTATGGGGCGGTATATAAACAGCAATACTTTGGGTTTTTTTTTAATCCTCTTTGGCAATTAAGGGTCACAACAGTCGAAAAGAATGGAAAAAATGGATAGTTCTGCATAGCAAGCCCTAAGGTGAAATAATCCAAAATGAAACGAGGGAGGCTAATGGAGGATGAGACGGCCAGGTCAGAAGGTACACAGACTGCAACTACATAGTCAAATACTGCGGGATTTGCTCTGCATATAAAATAGGTGAGTTCAAAGTATTTTTTTTACCTATCACATGATGCAGAGGTTCATTCAAATTGTTCTAGCCCTTTTAGCTCCCAAAGTGGCTTCCTCCCCCCCCCCCGCTGCTGGGAGGGCATTAAATTTTTCAAACTGGAATGATTTGAATGGGCTTTTCCCCATGTGGCTGGTTCATGGAATCATAGAAACAGTGAGTTGGAAGGGGCCTATAAGGCCATTGAGTCCAAAGCAGGATCCACATCCAAGCTGATATGACAAATGGTTGTCTAATTTTCTCTTGACTGATCCCAGAATTTGAGTACTCACCACCTCCCCAGGTATCCTAAAATAGTATTTCACCTTTTTTTTTGGAAGCCACATCACAATGTTGGCTGATATTCCACTTTTCATCTAGACCAATTCCAAGATCCTTCTCACTCATAGTATTACTGAGTTTGGTATCCCCCATCTTGTAACTGTTCATTTGGTTTTTACCCCTAGGTGTAGAACTTTGCTCTCATCTCTGTTAAATCTCATTCTGTGGTTTTCCAGTCCAGTGCTCAAGTCTATCAAGATCTTTTTGAATTTTGTTCCTGTGGTAAATTTTTGGGAACGTGGGTGTGGGTGTCTTTGGGTGGTGTTTTGGTGACATAGGCACTTGAGGTGTGATGTTCAGGACCATGGGAACATACCCTCACATTCTTTCCCCTCCCCTGATTCCTCTGAATGTACATGAGATGCATGAGATTAGCACTAGATCCTTATATCATCTTATTGTTAGGTCCTCACTGTTATTATTTCCTGAATTTGTAGCCCATAAAAGGATTGGCAGAGGTGGTTGACAGAACCTGGCCTTAAGGAAGGAGAAGGAGGAAGAGGGGGGGAGCTCTTATCATCCACAACAAGACTTGGAGAAGGAGGACTGGGTGGAATCGAGAACCAGCTATTACTGCGACAGGGCTCCTAGATGGGCAAATGGGTCTGCCTCTCTAAGAATAAAGGGCAAGGGCACTGGGGATCACCCAGCCTTGGCATCTACAGCAGATCCTCCAGAGACATGACAAACTTTTGGGACATGGGGACCTGCATCAGCTGGGCACTAAATAGTGTTAGCGAGCTGGGATAAGGTCTGCAAACAAGACCCCAGCCCCTGACTGGAAATGCTGGTGGCCCAGATGATAAAACTTGGGTGCAGCTAAAAACTGAGAGCAACTTTGGACTGTCAGGATGAGAAGAACTGGATGCCCCACTTATCCTTGCACCTTCCACATCTCTAATAGAAGCCTATACTAGCAGCAACAAGAGTCTGGAGTTCATTGAGCCTATGGTTGAGGAAACCCTCTCAGGCACCCTCACTTGGTCAGAGTGTGCCACAACATTTCATTGTTCTGACGTATCCTCTGGATAAGACACTACTGTTAAGGCAACGTATGGAGAAACACAATGGTGTCCAAATGACAAGGGAGTACTTTGCCTCCTATTAAATTTATATGCAAAACATTTAGACAACAAGTGAGTTCTAGATCAAACCAAAGATACCCGGTGTGCTGTAGTGGATAGAGTGACAGGCTAGAACTTTGGAGACCAGGGTTGAAATCCCCACTTGGCCATGGAAACCAGCAGGGTCGATGGAAATGATAAAACTATTCCTTAAATATCTCAAAACCCTATTAGGGTTGCTTTAAGTTGGTTCCAACTTGATGGTGCACAGCACAGTTCAAATGAACCCTGAGCTCTCACTAGAGACTTGCTCAAGTCTACTGAAACTATCATATATCATATCATATATATCATAAGAGGACAAGACTCAGTGGAAAAGACTGTAATGCTAGGAAGAATAAAAGCAATAAGGGGGAAAAAAGGAAGACCTGACATGAGGTCAAATGACTCAGTAAAGGAAGCTTCAGCCTTTTGTTTATAAGATCTGAGCAGGGTTGTTAATGCTAAGATTTCTGGGGGTTATTTATTCATGGGGTCACCATAATTTGGAAATGACTGGATGGCACATAACAATACAACATTGCTGCATTTTGGATAAAACCTAGGCTTGAATACAGATGTCCCTAGAGCTGGCTTCGATGTCTCTTAGAGGCCAGCATGCAGGTAACTTCATCACTGGCCCTTCACTGGAGATGAAAAGGCAAGCAATAAGAGAACAAATAACAAAACTATTTTCTTTATGAAGGGAGAGATAAAATTCAGGTGGAAAGGATCAGCAGATAGCTACTTGCACAGGCAGACAAAATACAGGTGCCCATCTGGTTGGCTGTCAGTCTACCACACACACAACATTCATTACTTCATATGCTAAATTGCTGTTATCCCAATTGACCTTAGTTTAAGTTCTACATCAATCGATTATTTTCTGGACCTGACTTATCTCCAGTATATGAACCTAGGTACAGCTTAGTAGGAAATGTTTCTGTAATTAAAGAAGTACAAACTTGCTGCAATTCGTCTCAAGAAAGGTCTTGCATTTTTCTTACTCTTGTCTACTATCCTGCCCTATTTCTTTCATTATCTGAATATCCTTTTTAAAAAAAGGAAAGGAAACACCACTCCTTTACACTAGGGATGCAAAATGTGTACAAAGCATAGAGAATTACTCTAGGCCTGCAGGTACACAGACAAATCTCAGGTTGCATATCACTGAAGTCAAATGTTTAGTTTTTGTGAGCGAGATGTATTATTTATTTATTTCACTTATATGCCACCCACTCTACCCAAAGGTCTCTGGGCGGCTTACAACAATTAAAAATCAATTAAAATACAATAAAAGATAAAATGATTAAAATACAATTAAAATCGATACTCTAAAAATAGACTTCAGGACCCACAGTTGATGTTATTTCAATTAAAAGCCTTCTGGAACAGGAAGGTTTTGACCTGGCGCCGAAATGTCATCAACGTCGGCGCCAGACGAATCTCAGTTGGGAGGGTATTTAAATCCCAGGTACTCATTCTCAACAGGTACCAGCACTCATTGTTTGAGGAGAGGTGCCTGTATATATATTGTGCTTCCTCCTTTACTGATCTTTCACCAGCTGCCTTGCTCTGTGGTTTCCTCAATTTGGCTGAGCCCCTTGAAAACCAAGTGAACACAATGCTATTGACCTGGCAACCCTTGTATGCAAATCTGGACAGAGATAAGCCACCCACACCCTGAGGCACATTTGGATAAGGCTCTTTCAACTTCCCCTGCTGGATATCAGGATTTCGATCCCTTCTGCTTGAAAAACAACAACAGAGAAACACAGAGGGAACCCACACAGGGGTCTTAAACCAGTTCCTCCTGTTGAATGGTGGCATTACTTTTTGCTGCTGCTTTGTACACATGGTGTACACAATCATTAGTCATCGCTTATCACAGGATCCATGACTACCCATGCTTTGGCCATCACTTTTCAAAGTGGAATTAAAGAAGCAAGAAAATGTGCCATTCATAAACTAACTTCAACGTTGTGAATCCTTCATTGTGTCTTACTCAGTCTTAACCATTAAGTGGGAAGTGAGATGGGGCACCAGCATGGTCACCATCATCAATGGCATTGGCATTGCAATATGCTTCTTCATCAGTCAGAAAGATAAGTCATAATACATGACAAAAGGGTGTGTGTGATCCACTTAGCTAGGTGTGGAGTTCCCCTTAGAGGCCGCAGAAGCCAAGGAATGGGATTCCACACAGCTCAACAAGTCAGCTGTTGGTGGGGGTGGGAGAAATGTGATGGATCTTGTCAGCTTTGAAGGCTATATGATGTTTCTGTATGCCTTCTTTACATTTGTGTAACTATTTGCTTGGCTCCTGGCTAGCAAATTTATTTGAATCCCACCACTGACTATATCACAATGTGGCAGATGAGTCAGGCAGCAAGCACTCTGGGTGGTTTGCAGCCAACTTGTAAACACACACACACACACCCAAAATTTCAGGAATACAAATAAACATGTTCTTATCTGCCCAGCACCTAAATTTAGCTGCTGAAATTGAAGAAATTGTGGGGAAATAGGAAAGTTGCCTTTTTTGGACTATAACTCCCAACACCTGCCAGTCATCATAGACAGGGAAGATTCTGGGAGCTATAGTACAAAAGACATCAATGTTTCCAATACCTGGAAGAATTTTTCTTATGTTAGGATGC